GTTCCATCTCCCCTTGGTTTCATGAGGCCCTGCAGTGTCACAATGTTCTCCTTGCTTCTGCAGTGTCACAATGGCCCCGTGCTTCCATGAGGCCCTGCAGGGTCACAGTGGCCCTTTGGTTCCGTGGGGCCCCACAGTGTCACAATGGTCTCCATGATTCCATGGGGCCTTGAAATTCCACAGTGCTCTCCATGGATCCACGGTGCCCTGCAGGAACACAACGGCCCTTTTGTTCCACAAGGCCCTGAAATGCAGCAATGGCCTCTTGGTTCCACAAAGCCCTGCTGCTTCACACTGGGCCCTTGGGACCATGCGGCCCAGCAGAGCCACAGTGATGGCCTTGGTGCCACGGGGTCCTCACAGTGTCACAGTGGCCCCTTCATTTCACCAGGCCCCACAGTGTCACAATGGTGTCCATGATTCCACAGGTTCCTACAGTGTCACCCCAGGAAGGAAACCACAGAGCCCCAGTATTTCAGGGTCTGTTGAACTGCAGTCACCAGAAGCCTAGGACAGGCAGACCTGTTTGTCCTGGCCGGTTTCTCTGGGAGCAACTCTTGGATAGTTGAAATTTTATATGTGGAATCCCAATTTCAGTCCTTTTTTGCCTGGAGGAGAAGAAGGTCAGTCCTTTTCCACAGAAAGGAAAGCACAGAGCCCTTGTGTTTGGAAGGCAGGTGAGAGCTGGCCCTGAGGAGACCAAGGGCTGCCAGACTCGTTGGTAATGGAAGCTTTTCTCTGGCAGCAATCCCTGGATATTGGGAATTTTGGAGAGGGAATCCTGTTCTGGCTGTAGATGCTTGAATGAGAAATGCAGCTCTTTTCCATTTGAAAGTCAGCTCAGACCCCAGGGTTTCAGGGGTACATGAGAAGAGACCCTCGACATGCCAAGGGCAGTTGGACAAGTCAGGCCAAGCCAACCAGACCCGTTCCCTGTTCTTTAGGATTCATGGGGCCCTGCCGTATCACGATGGTGGTGTCATATTGGATCCTTGGTTCCATCAGGCCAAGATGTGTCACACTGGCCTCTTGTTTCCATGGGGCTCCAGTGTCACAATGGTCACTTGCTTCCAAGAGGCCTGGCAGTGTCACAGGGGTCTCCTTGGTGCTGCAGTGTCACAATGGACCCTTGGTTCCATGGGGACTCACAGTGTCAGAAAGGTCCCCTTGGTTCCATGAAGCCCTGCAGAGCCCCTTGATTCAACGAGGCCTCCAAGTGTCATCACGGCCTCCAGGATTCCATGAGGCCCCACAATGTCCCCATGGACCTTTGGTTCTATGGGCTCCTGCACTGTTCCATGAATCCTTAGGTCCATGGGGCCCTGCAGTGTCACAATGGCCTCCTTGGTTCCACCAGGCCTTGCTGTGTCACAATGGCCCCTTGGTTCCAAGAGGTTTCTCAGGGTCACAATGGTCTCCTTGTATCCTCAGTATCACAATGGACCATTGGTTCAATGTGGCCCCAATGCGCCCAAATGGATTTTGGTTCCATGGGTTTCTGCTGTGTAACAATGGACCTTTTGTTCCATGAGTTTGCACAGTATCACAGCTGACTCCTTGGTTCTCTGAGGCCAGACTCTCACCAAATCTCTGAAATATCAGAATAAGTTTCCTTAACACTCATTTGCAATTTCAGAGGGTATCATTTACTCAGGCCAGAGGTCCAACATGGGAAAACTACTAACCTCACATGAATGTGTAATTCTACCAATGTGTTGCTCATATACCGTTGATAAATGTGAATTACAATTTACCCATTTCCATAAAACCCACCTCAAGTTCCCAGATTCCCTCCTTGTTTTCTCTATCCCTGCACCCCTGAGCCAAATGTCTTCTTCTTTTCTTCCAACCATCCTTGATGGGAAATCAGCCCTGCAAGCCTTGTTCCTGTGCTGAAAGTTCACAGGCAGGTTAAAAGTGGAATGAAGCCTTTTGGTATCAGCCCCAGGCTTTGTGTGGGCAGGCAGAGGCAGGCAGGAGGCAGAGCTGTTAGCAAAGGAAGGGGCCAGCCAGGTGGGGCAGCCGGGGGATGCCAACAGCCTGCAGGGACAGAGGCGCAGGGCAGGGACACCGTGGGACAGCCTGGGCTGCACAGGGCACAGGCATGTGCAGCAGCTGCAAGACAGCCCTGCCAGAGCCAACTTGGGCAGCACTTTGGCCATGGCTGCTGGGCCTGGGCCTGAGGCAGGAGCAGGAGACAAGTGACCCTTGCAGGCCTGGGGCCTCATTGCCTCCTTGTCCCTGCTCAGCAGCCTGGCAGGGGCTGCCCCATGCTCCTGCCCTTGCCATTGCACATCCCCACATGCCAGTGCCCATCCCGGAAGAGCCCTGAGCAAGAAGGGAGGGACAGCATCTGCCTGGCCAGGGGCTGGGGCTCAGGCCTTGGCCCTTGGCATTCCTCAAACACATCCAGCTTTGCTCAGCACCAGAGACACCTTGGCCTTGTTTGTCCCCAGCTGTCATCACTGCCTCCAGTGTTCTGCTCTAACTGGAACCTGGGGACACTTTCTCAGTCATGTCCATCTGTGGGACTCATTAAAACTTCAAGAAACTTCAGAGTTTCATTTTAAATTTGAGTTCTTGAGAAGTTTTTAGAGCACTCTCTCAGGGACTGGGCTGATGTAAACAACACCAAATCCCCAAGAGGCTCATTAAAGTTCTTGTGCTGTGTCTGTGCTGCTGAGCTTTAAAGGAACAGCTCTTCCCAGGGCCACCTCCTCTCCCAGCCCAGCAGGGCTGAGGGCTCTGCCACACTGAGGTGACAGGAGCCAGGCAGAGACAGGCTGAAGGCAATCAGGATTGGGAAGACATTGAGCTGAGACTTCACTTGGGGAAAGATCTTCACAGCCCTGTGCATGGTGAGTGTGTGGGTGCAGGGCAACGTCCCCTGTGCTCCTGGAGGGATCTCTTGAAGTTGACCCAGGACAGGACTGATGTGACTGTAAGGATGGCTCTGCTGCTGTTTCTGCTTTGCGGGAGGATGTGCTGCAGAGTGGGGCTGCCCTGGGCACCGTCAGAGGGGACAGAGCAGGACGGCTCCTGCTGCCAGGGATGGCTGCAGGGGGTGAAGCTGGGGCTGCAGCCAGGGCTGTACAGAGCTCCAGCTCATGCCCAGGGTGACTTTTCATGAGCTCATTCAGGGCAGGAGTTTCCTGCTTGGGTCTCTGCTTTCCTGAATCTGTGCCCCCACTTTTCCCTGGCTCAGCTTGGTGGCAATATAAAATTAACTATGCAGGGTAGATCAGGGGCTGAGACACTTAAACCATCACACTGAGCATTCCTGGGCACCTCAGCAATTGCCTGCACCTGTCCAGCCTCCAGATGCATGCAGCATCACCTTTCCATGGTGCCCAGGCTGGGGGAGCTGTTCTTTAATCCCTGCAGGGCCCAGCAGCTGCAGGGCATGGCTGGCCCAGGGGCTGGGCTGGGCTCTGGCAGCTCTGGCAGGGGAGGAGCCCGGGGCCACAGGAGCAGCTGGGGCTGGGACAGCTCCAGCAGCAGAGCCGTGGGCAGGGAGGGAGGGAGGCAGTGCTGAGGGAAGCCCTGCTGCAGGGCAGATGTGACACCTGCCAGGCCTGCCCTGCAGGGCAGACTCTGCCCTGAGGAGCACAGCTCTTGTGTCCCCTCGCTGCCAGCACAGCCCTCAGCCCGGTGGCACAGGGCCCTCAGTCCCTCCTGGGCCGGCAGAGCAGCCCCAGAGATGAAGGGCATCTCTGCGGCCATGTGCCCATTCCCTGCTGACCGGGGCCTGAGGGCCACTGTCCTGCCCTGCTGCTGCCTGGCAGGGGCTGGCCAGGGAAAGGCTTTTCCTCAGGCCCGGCTCTCTCTCTCTCCTTGCCTTGCCCAGGTGCTGCTGGCATTGCTGAGGGGCTCTCTGCAATGGCAGTTCCAGCTGCAGGGCCAGGCCCAGCCCTTGGGCTCCTCCTGTGCAGGCTGAGCACAGCAATGGGGTGTCCCAGCTCCCTGTGCCCGGGCAGCTCTGGGCAGGGCAGCCTGGGAGGCTGGCAATGAGCCCACTCTCCTGACTCTGGGAAAGGCAGGAGCCACTTTGTGTGCCAGGGATCCCTCTGCTCTCAGCAGTGTCTCCTGGCTGTCCAGGGTAACACAGGAGTGGATTTCAGAAAGGTGCAAGTGCAGGGCAGCTGGAACAGGAGAGAGGGACAGAGCAGCTCCCCTCAGTCTGCACTAAGCCTCAGACAATCCTCCTGCCTCTCTGGACTCTCTGTTCTCCCCAGGTGCAGCAGAATCTCTCGTTCTGCCTTCTGTTATCCCCATCCCTTCACCCAGTCAGCTCCTCTGCTTTAGGGGTACATTACTTATCCATGTCCCAAAACCAGGACTGGTCCCTGCCCTCACTGTTCCCTGCACCGACTGGGGGTCAGGGCTGACTCTCAGGTGTCCTGCAGGTCAAGGTCCAGCTCCTGACACAACATTAGCCAGCAGCAATCAGGGCTCCAGCAACAAAGGTGAAGGAAGATCTCCTAGACATAGACAAGGGGGAGGTGTTTAGTGGCCAGAATGAGTCTATGCGAAAGGGCTTTGCCTTTTCTGTGAGAAATCTCCCCTCAATTATCACTGTAATTCCTTCTTCAAAAGGTTCCAATGTCCAGAGACAGCAAATGTTCAACAGCAGCTCCATCAGGCACTTCCTCCTGCTGGCATTGGCAGACACACGGCAGCTGCAGCTCCTGCACTTCTGCCTCTTGCTGGGCATCTCCCTGGCTGCCCTCCTGGGCAACGGCCTCATCATCAGCGCCGTAGCCTGCCGCCACAACCTGCACACGCCCATGTTCTTCTTCCTGCTCAACCTGGCCCTCAGTGACCTGGGCTCCATCTGCACCACTGTCCCCAAAGCCATGCACAATTCCCTCTGGGACACCAGCATCATTTCCTACGCAGGATGTGCTGCTCAGGTGTTTTTCTTTATCTTCTTCCTTGCCACAGAGTTTTCCGTCCTGACCATCATTAGCTATGACCGCTACATGTCCATCTGCAAACCCCTGCACTACGGGACCCTCCTGGGCAGCAGAGCTTGTGCCCACATGGCAGCAGCTGCCTGGGCCAGTGGTCTTCTCTATGCTCTCATGCAAACAGCCAATACATTTTCCCTGCCCCTGTGCCATGGCAATGCCCTGGACCAGTTCTTCTGTGAAATCCCACACATTCTCAAGCTCTCTTGCTCCAGATACTACCTCAGGGAACTTGGGCTCATTGTGGTTGGTGCATCCTTAGGTTTTGGTTGTTTTGTGTTCATGGTTTTCTCCTATGTGCAGATCTTCAGGGCTGTGCTGAGGATCCCCTCTGAGCAGGGACGGCACAAAGCCTTTTCCACCTGCCTCCCTCACCTGGCTGTCGTCGCCCTGTTCATCAGCACCTCATTTTTTGCCTACCTGAAGCCCCCTTCCATCTCCTCCCCCTCCATGGATGTGGCCCTGTCAGTTATGTACTCGGTGATGCCTCCAGCCCTGAACCCCCTCATCTACAGCCTGAGGAACCAGGAGCTCAAGGCCGCAATGGGGAGACTGATGACAGGATGGTTTCAGAAACATTAAACTGGTTGCAAATTTCTTGAAGTCACATGTAATAAAAGTCATCTTGTATAGTTCTTGTTGGTTTAGTGGTTGCTATGTTCTCTTCTTTCTTTTGTTTCATTTTTTTAATAATATCCATAAAGAAATGCCATTGGTTGGGCCTCATTTCATTTATTTTCCCTCCACATTTGCTGTGGCTCACAAACTGTACCAATGCAGAGCTGAGCTCTTGGTGACTTTAAAGGAGCTAAAGGATCTGCCAACAGAGTTTTCACCAGAGTTCCCCCTTCTGTTCCCTTCTCTGGAGCTGCAGCAGCAACGGCTGTGTGCACAGCTGGGGGCAGATCAGGGCGGGCACAGCAGCTGTGCCCAGCAGCAGCAGCACTTGGTGTTGCCAGTGCTGCTGCCGTGGCCCTGCCCCTCTGCCCTGATGGCCCTGGTGTTGCTGCAGGGCCTGAGTGCTCTCGGGGCCGGGCACAGCCCTGGGGGTGGCAGTGCCGGGGCTGCAGCAGGGACAGGCCATGGGCACTGCTGGGGCAGCGCTGACGCCTCAGCCCAGGCCCTGGGGGCTCCAGGCTCCTTGCCCAGGCTCTCTCAAGAACACGCCCAGGCCAATGCTCAGCACAGAAAAGCCCCGTGAGCAGCCCCAGGCTTGCCTTGGGCAGGCTGGGGGCAAACAGCATGGCTGGGGCTCTGCAAGGGCCCTGGGGCAGACGGGAAGGAGCAGCAGAGCAGGGGCTGATCCATCCCCAGTGCGCTGCACAGCCCAGGGCAGCGTCCCAGAGCGTCCTCATGGAGCTGCCAACAACATCCCCCCTCTGCAGCCCTGGGCTCTCCTCCAGCTCACACAGGTGCCCCATCCTTGCAGGCACAGACACGGCAGCACTGGCTCAGCAGCCCCTGTTTGCATTGCACAGAGCAGGGGGAGCACCCCCATGCTGTTGCTGTGGGGACATGAACCTGAGGGAGCACAAATGCCATCAGCCCCTGGGGCCAGCAAGGGCTGGGGGACACCAGGGAAATCACAGGTTTGTCGTGGCCTTTGCAGTCAGCCAGAAAATTTTTTCCCATCAGCTGGGAGTTTCCTGCCCCACTGCAGACGCTGTTGCTCAGAGCCAGGGCTGCCTGGCAGCCACCCTCAAACAGCCCTGAGCATTTCCTATGCTTCACTTTTGTCTTCTCTCCTGGGGTGACTTCAGTAATTGTCTGCAGGCTCCTGCACTGCCTCAAGCTGCTCCCTTGCCAGAGGCTTCCCAGGCCAGGGGGGCACATCTGGGCTGCTGTGTCTGGCTCTGGGGCTCCCTGTTCTGGGCACTGAGGAGGAGCTGCAGAGGCTCTGCAGGACAGACAAGATGGGCTTTGGGGCTGGCAGGAGAAGCTGAGGGACCTGGGCTGCTGGAGCTTCTGCAGAGGAGGCCCAGGGCTCCTCCTGCAACTGCTCCAAGGGTGGTTCCAGAGAGTCACAGAATCAGCCAGGTTGGAAAAGTCCTTGGAGATCATCAAGTCCAACCTGTGCCCTGACACCGCCTCCTCTTCTCCAGGATAAACCACCCAAGCTCCCTCAGCCTCTCCTCACAGGACTTGTGTTCCACACCCCTCACCAGCCCTGTTGCCCTTCTCTGGAAACGCTCCAGCCCCTCCATGGCCTTCCTAAATTGGGGCCCAGAACTGGACACAGCACTCGAGGTGTGGCCTCACCAGAGCCGAGTGCAGGGGAAGAATCCCTGCCCTGCTCCTGCTGGCCACACCATTCCTGATCCAGACCAGGAGCCATTGGCCTTCTTGCCCACCTGGGCACACTGCTGCCTCATGTCCAGCCTGCTGACCATCAGTGCCCCCAGGTCCCTTTCTGCCTGGCTGCTGTCCAGCCACTCTGTCCCCAGCCTGTAGCACTGCAGGGGGTGTTGTGGCCAAAGTGCAGGACCCGGCACTTGGTCTTGTTCAACCTCACCTTGTTGGATTTGGGCCCTGCATCCAGCCTGTCCAGGGCCCTCTGCAGAGCCCTCCTACCCTCCAGCAGATTCACACTCACACCCAGCTTGGTGTCATCTGCCGATTCGCTGATGCTGGACTCAATCCCCTCATGCCAATCATCAATGCAGATATTGAAATCCACGCTGGCTGGCTCTGATCCTGCGACCATCCTGTGGGTGCCCTGTGATGGCACTCAAGGTGATCTGTTCCATAACCTTGCCGGGCACCCAGGTCAGGCTGACAGGCCTGGAGTTGCCCAGCTCCTCCTTCCAGCCCTTCTTGGGGATGGGCTCACATTGGCACCTCCAGTCCTCTGGGACCTCCCTGCTGAGCCAGCACTGATGGTAAATGATGGAGAGCAGCTTGGGGAGCTCATCCACCAGCTCCCTCATCCCCCTGGGATGGATCCCATCTGCTCCCAGAGGCACCTGTGAGCATCTGAGTGGCTCAGCAGGTCCCCAGCTGCTTCCTCCTGGATTACAGGGGGCTGTTCTGCTCCCTGTGCCCATCTACAGCTCAGGAGAACACTTGTCCTGAGGAAAATGTCTTTTTTTTGACAATTGAGATACACAAAGTGTTAAGCAGCTCAGCTTTCTCCTTATCCTTAGTTACTCTATTCCCCAGTGCATCCACTATTGAGTAGGGGTTCTCCCTATTCCTCCTTTGGCTATTAGTTTATTTATAAAAGGTTTTCTTAATTACTTTTTGCAGAAGTGGCCAGGTGAAGCTCTAATTGAGCTTTCATCTCTCCACTTTTCTTTCTGCATGACCAAACAACATCCTTAAAAACTTCCTGATTTTGCCTGACCTATTTTTTCAGAGTTCCCACAAAACCCTCATGCCCAGCCAGGACACTCATTTTCCTCTCTGGTTCAACTTTGGCACAGAGGGACAGGCTGCTCCTTCCCCCTTAAGATTACTTTCTTGAGGTGTGTCCATCCTTCCTGGAGACCTTTGTTTTAACAGCTGTTTCCCTTAAAAAATCAGTACCTGATTCAGTACTCTCCAAATCTGCATCCTGAATAGGCCAAGGTTTGCCCTGCGTAATTCCAGTGTAGACATTTTGTTTATGTCCCTCCTTCTTTCAGAGGATTTTGAAAACTTGATTATTTCATCGTGACTGTGCCCCAGGCAGCCTCCGACCACCACATCTCCCACCAGCCCTTCTCTGTTTGTAAACTGCAGGAGACAGAGCTTACCTTGGCAGTGGAAGTGTCACCCAAAATTCAGCAAAATATTAAAACTCCATAACCGCAATGTAGCATTAAGAAGCAGCATTCTTTATTTGGCCAGATGCCCAGGTGGATAGCTCCTCCCAAAGCTGTGCATGCTGAGTGCTGGAAGGTTTCTGTTTATTTTCTGTATTTTGCACACATATGCATTGATTGTCCTGGACTAAACACACATATGATAATCATTTCCGCAAAATCATTAACATATTTCCCCTCCCCTTCACCCATGCGTTCTCCTGTCCTGGGGGGTCTCTCTGGTGGTCCCTGGTGCTCGTGGACCCCAATGTTCCAGTGGGCCTGGCTGAGATGGCAGGACACTGAGGCTGGTGAATTTCAATTCCCCTTCTCACACAATGGGCATTGTGTGGTTTCCACAGGCCTGGGGTTTTGGAGAACCAGCACCGTGTGTGCTCACCTGGTGTAGACAATTTATCATCTGGAAACATGAGGTCACAGAGTTAGCCATGACATCAAAGAGGTTCTGTGAGGTCATAAAGCAGCTACAGCATCATAGGCTGTTTCTGTGACACCACACAGCCAGCTGTGAAATCACAGGGCAGAGGACTGACATCATAGAGCAGCCTATGACATCACAGAGTTGCCTCTGTGACATCAGAGATCAGCTGTGGGACAGCAGAGAACAGGCTGTGACATCACAGACAAGGCTGTGATGTCAGAGGGGGGCTGTCTGACATAACAGCAGGTCTGTGTGAGGTCACTGGGTTGGTCACTCTGCCCCAGACACCCCTCACAGATTCCCCCTGGAAGTCCAAAGCTGTTCATGCCCAGCAGGGTCCCTGCCCCCTGGTATCCCCCTGGTCCACCTGGAGCTGCAGCCTCCCACAAGGATGTTCCACAAGATCAAGTCCCAGAGCCTGACACGGGGATAGGGGGCTGGGCTGTGTGACCAGCACATCAAGGACATGGATTATCCAGGTCACTGGGGCCTGGTTTGAGGTCCTCAAGGCAGGAAAGAGGTCTGGCAGCTGGAGCAGGGGCTGGGAAGGGCCTCCAAGGTGGGGCTGGAGCCCTTGGGCTGTGAGCAGAGGCTGAGGGAGCTGGGCTGGTCCAGCCCAGAGCAGGGAAGGCTGAGGGGCTCCTCATCCCAGCCTGGCAGTGCCAGCGAGGAGGGGATGGAGAACACAGAGCCAGGCTCTTCACCAGGGGGGCTGGTGGGAGACAAAAGCCAATGGGTGGAAGGGGAAAGAGGGGAGATCAGCCAGGACAGGAGGAGTTGAATTGAGTCAGGCTGGTTTCAGCATTTCCTCAACACCAAAAGCAGCCTGAGCCCCTTCTCCATCCACCACTGACAGCTTTGCAAATCAGGAATTGTTCAGTCCATTTTATCCCCACTTCAGGACGAGCATCCTGATAGAAAAACTTAATTCTATTTATATCTATCACAGAATCACATTTTTCTCAAGTTAATTTTAGTATGGAAATCACTTGTGGATGGTGGACATGTCAGATGCTGCTGGGACATTGCACATGGCTCAGGGAAGAGCATGGTTATATTGAATTGTGTCCTCTTCAACCATGGTCTGTTGGCCATGAAGAGAAACTTCCTGTGCCTCTGAGTCGCCCCAGTTCCTGACCCCCAAAGGACACAAACCTGGCAAGTTCTGGTTCCCAATCCAGTGGTGGCACCTGCACCTCCCTCCATCCCCAGAGCAGAGCTCCCTTGTCCCAGAGAGTCCCTGGCAGTGCAGGGATGAAGGAAACAGGACAGGCTGTAGGGATCAGGGGCAGGGCACAGCCAGGGATTTGGGGTGGTGTTGAGCCCAGGGCAGGACGTGGCCCTTGGCCTTGGTGAACCTCATCCCATTGTCCTGGTCCCATGGCTCCAGCCTGGCCAGATCCCTCTGCAGAGCTTCCTGCCCTCCAGCACAGCCACACTGCCACCCAGCTTGGGCTCACCTGAGAGCTGACTGAGGTTGCCCTCGATGGCCTCATCTGGGGGAATCCACAAAATCAGAGGGTTTTGGGAAAGCTGCAAAAGGGAGGCCTCAGAGACAGTCAAACTGTGAGCAAGGCTAAGCAGCAGCCGTGAGATAGGTCAGCAGAAAAATTATTTAAAAAGTAGAAAAACAAGGACAAACAGAACAATGGTGGGTGTATTAACGCTTGTCTAGAATAACTCCCTAAGCTAAAGAAAAGTATATCTAGCGAGATATTAGGAAGTTTGAAGCTCAATAATGGGGCTCTGTGCATTGTGTTTTAAGGCTTACAAGCAGGTATTGTATTCAAAATAAGCAATCATTGTTTTAACCAAAGATACATGTGCTTATAGTTGTTGGACAGAACTACTGTCAATATGCTTTTCCTTTTTTGATTGGTCAAAAAACTTATAAAGTAAGTTGTAACATTACGTTCTTGGTCTGCTGCTTGGGATGTGAGCTGCTGGCATCTTCCCATTGTCATAACCATGTAAATGAGACTGATGCTGAAAAATAAAACAGGTCAAGGCACGTTCCACAGCAGTCCCTTCCCATCTGTGATTTGTACATAGCCCCCAGCTGGCAATATCATCCACATCAGCAATAAAGAGATTTCACTGACCTGGCCCCAATCCTGAGCCCTGGGGACAGCCCTGGATGGGACTCCATTCCTCAGCTGCTCTGAGTGCCAGGGGTTGGATGGGGGAAATGGTGGGGAGGGGGTAGGGACAAAGTTTGATTGATTGTCAGCCATGAAGGGTCTTGATTTTCATATGTGTTCAGTCTGCATGAGGAGGTGCTGGGGATCAATATCAACTGGGGATTGCTAATAGCAATCTATAAACAGGAAAAGAGAACTTAACAGGACAAATAATTCTGCCTGCATTGTTTTCAGTATCGTAGATTCAGTTTAAATACACTTCTGGAATCTGTCTAATTAACCACAGAAGAAGGGAAGATTTGAATTATTCCCATGGGCTTGTCTTGTTTGGGTGTTTTGAACAAATTTTTATGAGCCTTTGTCACTGAATTTCTGAACTGAAGAGATAAAGAAAGGTGAGGCCTCTGGAAAAGTAAAATTCATCACCAACCTGCAAGTGGCGAGGATCCATCCCCATCAGAGCAGGAATGAGCAGAAATGGGCACAGCTTTGTGGCTGCCCCAGCTTTGGGATGGGCCCTGGGCCTGGAGCAGGAGCAGCTCTTGAGGGCCCCAAGGCCGGGGCTCTTGTGCTGCCCTGGGCAGATGGGATGGCAGCAGGGGCTGCAGAGCTCTCAGCATCTCCTGCAGAGGACAGCAGGGCACCCAGGGAGCCTCCTTTCCCTTGGCCAGGCATGTTCCCCCATGTTGGGGCTGAGTCCTGTGGCAGCTGCAGCTGCTGCTGTGCCCTTGCCAGGGGCTGAGGCCGTGGGGCAGTGCCCAGAGCAGCCTGGCCTGAGCAGAGCTGTGGGGCCAGAGCCGGCTGGGCTGGGCTGGGGAGAGGCCCTTGGTGCTGCCCAGAGCTCAGGGCAGCTGGCAGAGCTTGCAGGGAGCTGGGCTGTGGTCAGACAGCCTGGCCCAGAAACCATCAGTGTCCATCTCAGCCTGGCTGAGCGTGCAGGGGCCAAGAAGAGCAGCCCAGGGTCTGCACGTTCTCTGGGTAGGAGCTGAGCTTGGGAGCCCTTGAGCCCTGCCAAGGGCTGGGGCTGCACCTCCAGCTCCAGAGGAGATGGGACAGATGGGAGCACAGACAAATCATTCCTGCTGCATTCTTTCTTGTATCTGCTTATACAGGTGACCTGAATCCATATGTAGAGGAGGTGTTTTGTGTCAGATAACACTGGTAGAGTGTTAGGTACAGTGAGAAGAATAATATTATTTAGCTGAAAATAATGTTTCATGCAAAATACACAATGAGAAAAAAAGAGACACATATGATCAGAAGATCATCTGAGTTTTTCAGAGGAGGAGACACTCATTGATGTTCCCGTAGCCAAACCTGTTCAAATTCTTTCCTCAGGACTTCCTTGAGATGAGAGGTGACCACTAGAGGCCAAGGCCGACCAGAGCTCTCTGTTCTGGCAGCTTTTGTCTGGGAGAACCCTTGCATATGGGGAATTTTTCAGAGGGAATATCAGTTTTGTCCATGGACACCTGGAAAGAGCGATGGTTCTTTTCCATAGGAAGGGAAGCACAGAGCCCCAGTTCTCCAGGGGCTGATGAGAGGCAGCCCTCAGCATGCCAAGATCAGCTGGACCTGTCAGGTGGCCCCTAGCAGGCCAAACCAGCCAGACCTGTTCCATCTCCCCTTGGTTTCATGAGGCCCTGCAGTGTCACAATGTTCTCCTTGCTTCTGCAGTGTCACAATGGCCCCGTGCTTCCATGAGGCCCTGCAGGGTCACAGTGGCCCTTTGGTTCCGTGGGGCCCCACAGTGTCACAATGGTCTCCATGATTCCATGGGGCCTTGAAATTCCACAGTGCTCTCCATGGATCCACGGTGCCCTGCAGGAACACAACGGCCCTTTTGTTCCACAAGGCCCTGAAATGCAGCAATGGCCTCTTGGTTCCACAAAGCCCTGCTGCTTCACACTGGGCCCTTGGGACCATGCGGCCCAGCAGAGCCACAGTGATGGCCTTGGTGCCACGGGGTCCTCACAGTGTCACAGTGGCCCCTTCATTTCACCAGGCCCCACAGTGTCACAATGGTGTCCATGATTCCACAGGTTCCTACAGTGTCACCCCAGGAAGGAAACCACAGAGCCCCAGTATTTCAGGGTCTGTTGAACTGCAGTCACCAGAAGCCTAGGACAGGCAGACCTGTTTGTCCTGGCCGGTTTCTCTGGGAGCAACTCTTGGATAGTTGAAATTTTATATGTGGAATCCCAATTTCAGTCCTTTTTTGCCTGGAGGAGAAGAAGGTCAGTCCTTTTCCACAGAAAGGAAAGCACAGAGCCCTTGTGTTTGGAAGGCAGGTGAGAGCTGGCCCTGAGGAGACCAAGGGCTGCCAGACTCGTTGGTAATGGAAGCTTTTCTCTGGCAGCAATCCCTGGATATTGGGAATTTTGGAGAGGGAATCCTGTTCTGGCTGTAGATGCTTGAATGAGAAATGCAGCTCTTTTCCATTTGAAAGTCAGCTCAGACCCCAGGGTTTCAGGGGTACATGAGAAGAGACCCTCGACATGCCAAGGGCAGTTGGACAAGTCAGGCCAAGCCAACCAGACCCGTTCCCTGTTCTTTAGGATTCATGGGGCCCTGCCGTATCACGATGGTGGTGTCATATTGGATCCTTGGTTCCATCAGGCCAAGATGTGTCACACTGGCCTCTTGTTTCCATGGGGCTCCAGTGTCACAATGGTCACTTGCTTCCAAGAGGCCTGGCAGTGTCACAGGGGTCTCCTTGGTGCTGCAGTGTCACAATGGACCCTTGGTTCCATGGGGACTCACAGTGTCAGAAAGGTCCCCTTGGTTCCATGAAGCCCTGCAGAGCCCCTTGATTCAACGAGGCCTCCAAGTGTCATCACGGCCTCCAGGATTCCATGAGGCCCCACAATGTCCCCATGGACCTTTGGTTCTATGGGCTCCTGCACTGTTCCATGAATCCTTAGGTCCATGGGGCCCTGCAGTGTCACAATGGCCTCCTTGGTTCCACCAGGCCTTGCTGTGTCACAATGGCCCCTTGGTTCCAAGAGGTTTCTCAGGGTCACAATGGTCTCCTTGTATCCTCAGTATCACAATGGACCATTGGTTCAATGTGGCCCCAATGCGCCCAAATGGATTTTGGTTCCATGGGTTTCTGCTGCGTAACAATGGACCTTTTGTTCCATGAGTTTGCACAGTATCACAGCTGACTCCTTGGTTCTCTGAGGCCAGACTCTCACCAAATCTCTGAAATATCAGAATAAGTTTCCTTAACACTCATTTGCAATTTCAGAGGGTATCATTTACTCAGGCCAGAGGTCCAACATGGGAAAACTACTAACCTCACATGAATGTGTAATTCTACCAATGTGTTGCTCATATACCGTTGATAAATGTGAATTACAATTTACCCATTTCCATAAAACCCACCTCAAGTTCCCAGATTCCCTCCTTGTTTTCTCTATCCCTGCACCCCTGAGCCAAATGTCTTCTTCTTTTCTTCCAACCATCCTTGATGGGAAATCAGCCCTGCAAGCCTTGTTCCTGTGCTGAAAGTTCACAGGCAGGTTAAAAGTGGAATGAAGCCTTTTGGTATCAGCCCCAGGCTTTGTGTGGGCAGGCAGAGGCAGGCAGGAGGCAGAGCTGTCAGCAAAGGAAGGGCCCAGCCAGGTGGGGCAGCCGGGGGATGCCAACAGCCTGCAGGGACAGAGGCGCAGGGCAGGGACAGCGTAGCACAGCCTGGGCTGCACAGGGCACAGGCATGTGCAGCAGCTGCAAGACAGCCCTGCCAGAGCCAACTTGGGCAGCATTTTGGCCATGGCTGCTGGGCCTGGGCCTGAGGCAGGAGCAGGAGACAAGTGACCCTTGCAGGCCTGGGGCCTCATTGCCTCCTTGTCCCTGCTCAGCAGCCTGGCAGGGGCCGCCCCATGCTCCTGCCCTTGCCATTGCACATCCCCACATGCCAGTGCCCATCCTGGAAGAGCCCTGAGCAAGGAGGGAGGGACAGCATCTGCCTAGCCAGGGGCTGGGGCTCAGGCCTTGGCCCTTGGCGTTCCTCAAACACATCCAGCTTTGCTCAGCACCAGAGACACCTTGGCCTTCTTTGTCCCCAGCTGTCATCACTGCCTCCAGTGTTCTGCTCTAACTGGAACCTGGGGACACTTTCTCAGTCGTGTCCATCTGTGGGACTCATTAAAACTTCAAGAAACTTCAGAGTTTCATTTTAAATTTGAGTTCTTGAGAAGTTTTTAGAGCACTCTCTCAGGGACTGGGCTGATGTAAACAACACCAAATCCCCAAGAGGCTCATTAAAGTTCTTGTGCTGTGTCTGTGCTGCTGAGCTTTAAAGGAACAGCTCTTCCCAGGGCCACCTCCTCTCCCAGCCCAGCAGGGCTGAGGGCTCTGCCACACTGAGGTGACAGGAGCCAGGTAGAGACAGGCTGAAGGCAATCAGGATTGGGAAGACATTGAGCTGAGACTTCACTTGGGGAAAGATCTTCACAGCCCTGTGCATGGTGAGTGTGTGGGTGCAGGGCAACGTCCCCTGTGCTCCTGGAGGGATCTCCTGAAGTTGACCCAGGACAGGACTGATGTGACTGTAAGGATGGCTCTGCTGCTGTTTCTGCTTTGCGGGAGGATGTGCTGCAGAGTGGGGCTGCCCTGGGCACCGTCAGAGGGGACAGAGCAGGACGGCTCCTGCTGCCAGGGATGGCTGCAGGGGGTGAAGCTGGGGCTGCAGCCAGGGCTGTACAGAGCTCCAGCTCATGCCCAGGGTGACTTTTCATGAGCTCATTCAGGGCAGGAGTTTCCTGCTTGGGTCTCTGCTTTCCTGAATCTGTGCCCCCACTTTTCCCTGGCTCAGCTTGGTGGCAATAGAAAATTGCCGGGGCCACAGGAGCAGCTGGGGCTGGGACAGCTCCAGCAGCAGAGCCGTGGGCAGGGAGGGAGGGAGGCAGTGCTGAGGGAAGCCCTGCTGTAGGGCAGATGTGACACCTGCCGGGCCTGCCCTGCAGGGCACACACTGCCCTGAGCAGCACAGCTCTTGTGTCCCCTCGCAGCCAGCACAGCCCTCAGCCCGGTGGCTCAGGGCCCTCAGTCCCTCCTGGGCCGGCAGAGCAGCCCCAGAGATGAAGGGCATCTCTGCGGCCATGTGCCCATTCCCTGCTGACCAGGGCCTGAGGGCCACTGTCCTGCCCTGCTGCTGCCTGGCAGGGGCTGGCCAGGGCTGGCCAGGGAAAGGCTTTTCCTCAGGCCCAGCTCTCTCTCTCTCTCCTTGCCTTGCCCAGGTGCTGCTGGCATTGCTGAGGGGCTCTCTGCAATGGCAGTTCCAGCTGCAGGGCCAGGCCCAGCCCTTGGGCTCCTCCTGTGCAGGTTGAGCACAGCAATGGGGTGTCCCAGCTCCCTGTGCCCGGGCAGCTCTGGGCAGGGCAGCCTGGGGGGCTGGCAATGAGCCCACTCTCCTGACTCTGGGAAAGGCAGGAGCCACTTTGTGTGCCAGGGATCCCTCTGCTCTCAGCAGTGTCTCCTGGCTGTCCAGGGTAACACGGGAGTGGATTTCAGAAAGGTGCAAGGGCAGGGCAGCTGGAACAGGAGAGAGGGACAGAGCAGCTCCCCTCAGTCTGCACTAAGCCAACCCTCCTGCCTCTCTGGACTCTCTGTTCTCCCCAGGTACAGCAGAATCCCTCATTCTGCCTTCTGTTCTCCCCATCACTTCACCCAGTTCTGCAGCCTTACCGGAAGATTCTTTATCCAAGCCTGAACACCAGGACTGGGCCCTGCTCTCACTGTTCCCCTGCACTGACTGGGGGTGTCCTGCAGGCCAAGGTCCAGCTCTTCACACAGCATTGGCCAGCAGCAATCAGAGCTCCACCAACAATGGTGAAGGAAGATCTCCTAGACATAGACAAGGGGGAGGTGCTTAGTGGAAAGAAAGAGGCTACGACAAAGAGTTTTGATTTTTCTCTGAGAAATTTCCCCTCCATTGCCCTGTCTTTCCCCCTTCTGTACGTTCAAACGTGCAGACACAGCAAATGTCCAACAGCAGCTCCATCAGGCACTTCCTCCTGCTGGCATTGGCAGACACGCCGCAGCTGCAGCTCCTGCACTTCTACCTCTTGCTGGGCATCTCCCTGGCTTCCCTCCTGGGCAACGGCCTCATCATCAGCGCCATAGCCTGTGGCCACCACCTGCACACGCCCATGTTCTTCTTCCTGCTCAACCTGGCCCTCGGCGACCTGGGCTCCATCTGCACCACTGTCCCCAAAGCCATGCACAATTCCCTCTGGGACACCAGGGACATCTCCTACAAAGGATGTGCTGCACTGGTGTTTTTCTTTATCTTCTTCATCGGAGCAGAGTTTTGTCACCTGACCATCATGTGCTATGACCGCTACATGTCCATCTGCAAACCC